AAACTAGAAAAAACTAGAAAAAACTAGAAAAAACTAGAAAAAACTAGAAAAAACTAGAAAAAAACTAGAAAAAACTAGAAAAAAAACTAGAAAAAACTAGAAAAAACTAGAAAAAACTAGAAAAAACTAGAAAAAAACTAGAAAAAAAACTAGAAAAAAACTAGAAAAAACTAGAAAAAACTAGAAAAAACTAGAAAAAACTAGAAAAAACTAGAAAAAACTAGAAAAAACTAGAAAAAACTAGAAAAAACTAGAAAAAACTAGAAAAAACTAGAAAAAACTAGAAAAAACTAGAAAAAACTAGAAAAAACTAGAAAAAACTAGAAAAAACTAGAAAAAACTAGAAAAAACTAGAAAAAACTAGAAAAAACTAGAAAAAACTAGAAAAAACTAGAAAAAACTAGAAAAAACTAGAAAAAACTAGGAAAAAACTAGAAAAAACTAGAAAAAACTAGAAAAAACTAGAAAAAACTAGAAAAAACTAGAAAAAACTAGAAAAAACTAGAAAAAACTAGAAAAAACTAGAAAAAACTAGAAAAAACTAGAAAAAACTAGAAAAAACTAGAAAAAACTAGAAAAAACTAGAAAAAACTAGAAAAAACTAGAAAAAACTAGAAAAAACTAGAAAAAAACTAGAAAAAACTAGAAAAAACTAGAAAAAACTAGAAAAAACTAGAAAAAACTAGAAAAAAACTAGAAAAAACTAGAAAAAACTAGAAAAAACTAGAAAAAACTAGAAAAAACTAGAAAAAACTAGAAAAAACTAGAAAAAACTAGAAAAAACTAGAAAAAACTAGAAAAAACTAGAAAAAAACTAGAAAAAACTAGAAAAAACTAGAAAAAACTAGAAAAAAAAAACTAGAAAAAACTAGAAAAAACTAGAAAAAACTAGAAAAAAACTAGAAAAAACTAGAAAAAACTAGAAAAAACTAGAAAAAACTAGAAAAAACTAGAAAAAACTAGAAAAAACTAGAAAAAACTAGAAAAAACTAGAAAAAACTAGAAAAAACTAGAAAAAACTAGAAAAAACTAGAAAAAACTAGAAAAAACTAGAAAAAAACTAGAAAAAACTAGAAAAAACTAGAAAAAACTAAAAAAACTAGAAAAAACTAGAAAAAACTAGAAAAAACTAGAAAAAACTAGAAAAAACTAGAAAAAACTAGAAAAAACTAGAAAAAACTAGAAAAAACTAGAAAAAACTAGAAAAAACTAGAAAAAACTAGAAAAAACTAGAAAAAACTAGAAAAACTAGAAAAAACTAGAAAAAACTAAAAAAAAACTAGAAAAAACTAGAAAAAAACTGGAAAAAACTAGAAAAAACTAGAGAAAACTAGATAAGAATTAGATATATCATCCATTTTGTTTGAAATGCCTAACAAAGACTGAAATACGTCAAATGTCCAGGAAACATATTGGTTTGAAAATTTAATATTTTTTGTCTGTCAAAATTGTCAATTTAGCTTTTCTATAATAAAATATCAACTCCTAATACTTCACTTTTTTATTGGTCCTTTCATTCTGAACATGACGTAGATTTAAATTTTATTAAAAATATCGACACATCCAATATGCAACGTATTCTGACCTTTTCCCGATACTGACCTCCCTTGTGAAAAATCTTCTCAGGTTCGCAGCTCTGACTGGTTCAATTCACGCATGAAATCCTTTACTTTTCGCTACCCTGTGTTTCCTGTTCATTGATCCTGTTCTTGATAATCCCAATTTGACGATTCATCAGTTTTTGATTATTTTATATCTTATTTCCGGTGAATTATCTTTATATCCGGTTCGCTGTTTCTGACAATTCAATTTGAAAAATTACGACTTCTAACAGATTGTAGTTTATTTAAATTAATAAGAAATAGCAAACTTTTATTATTGCTCATTTTATTTACACAAGCTTCTGATTAACAGACTATTCTTTAATATGCAAGTAGGGGACATTAGCGCCGATATAATTTTTTTCAGGGGACAGAGGTACAAAGGACCCTCTATTTTGGTTATGCAGATGGGATGGGCAGGACCAAAATATACGACCGTGCAATGGACTGTATATAACAATTCGTGGTTTTTATTCAAAACTACTAATTTTAAAAAATCGTTTAAACCAAGGATCACTGAAAACATAAAATTTATGATCCAATTGAGGAACAAAAATCACTTATCAAATATAAATCAACTAAGAATATTTCTCATTGGAACTATTACAAACAATTAAGACATTTTATAAATAATGCAATTAAAACAGAGAAAAAAGTGTATTTAGAACATAAACTTCGAAACTCTAAAACTAAATGGAAAATCCTACATAATATATTAGCAAGCAAAACTGAGGAAATAAATTTTAATTTTTTTACAGATGCAAATCAAATTAATAATCATTTTTTAAAAATTTTCAACGTAGTTAGTACTGCAAATCAACAATTAGCTCAGTTTTATAAAGACACAAAATGCCATTTTACATTTTTCATTTCAGGAAGTAAATTAATTTCTGATTTCAAAAATTATTTTAAATATAAAAACACAAGCATGTGACTCAGATGGAATTAATATAAAATTCTTACAATTAATGTGTCCCTTTCTGATTCCATATATAACACATATAATTAACTACTGTTTAATAAAATCAGTTTTTCCTGAATTATGGAAGGAAGGTCTTATACTGCCAATCCCAAAAAAGCAACCTTTAGAAAGTATATCTGATTTACGTCCTATTATCATTCTACCAACTATTTTCAAAGTTTAAGAAAGAGTTGTCGAGCAACAAATACGTGACCATTTAAACAAATATGACATACTTCCACACACATAATCAAGATTTAGACCAATACATAGTTGCGGTACAGCTTTATCTAATATCACAGATGACATCTTAAAACAACGAGATAAAGGTAAAATTGGAGTCTTAGTTTTATTAGATTACAGCAAAGCATTCGACATGATCAATCATGACTTATTATTAACAATTTTAAATTTTATAGGATTCGAGACAACAACTATAACTTTTTTTAGAATGTATTTAACAGCAAGGTGCCAAAGAGTAGTATTTAATGGAAGCAAATCAGATGCTGGTCCCGTAATACGTGAAGTGGCGCAAGGATTCATTTTAGGCCCTTTACTCTACACCATTTATACTCATAATTTGGTATCAGTTAAAAGTAGGTGCAATATCTATATGTATGCTGATGATACCCAGTTATACTATTTCTTTAACCCGTCTGAGATTAAAGCTTCAGAAAAAATTATCAATGATGATGTCAATGCATTAGTAGAATTTTCATCTAATCACGACCTTGTAATTTTAACACGTCAAAATCAACTGTTCTACATTTCGGACACAAAACTAACCATCTTTGTAATATTAATATTGTCATGATATCCCAAATCCGACCATGTGCCTGTGTACGCACGCAACCTTCACATGGCAACTAATTCGTGATCGAAGCAACGCTGACGTGTGGAAACAGCCGGACCGCGTCTCGAATGTACAAGAATAAGACGGAATATCTGCCGCTGATGCACTGGAAGCAACTGGAACGAGGGGAGTTCCGATTAGTCATAGGGGTAGAATCTTCGCGAAGTCTCTAGCATTTTCCAGTAGCGGAGTTAGAATAATATAAATAGCCGACGTATCAGCGCCGAGTTTGAGTTTAATGTAGAACATTGTATTAAAAAGTTAAAGTGTAAGAAATAAATTAGAATTGTTAGTTAGTGTCTAAATATTATATAAATTAAATAGTACGTCTGAAATAAATTGTTAATAGTGTGTTTTTAAATAAATAAACTTTAAATAAATTAGACTTTCGTCACAATATTAATAACAACCTATTACCAGTATCTGACTTTGCTAAAAATTTAGGTGTAGTGTTCGATAACAAACTTAAATTTGACCATCACGTTTCTCATATCCTGCAAAAATCATATGGAAAGCTGAAACTCCTATATATCAATAGACAAGTCTTGAATTGAAATTTAAAAAAGGAACTCTGCGACTCTATGGTACTATCTTGAGGTAGGACATTCACAACACGTGTATATATATACGCAAAAAGGATCTCATAGATATCCCTAAACATAGAACATCTTAGTATCAAAATTCCTTCTCTTATCAGATTGCAGAACATTATAATAAGATCCCAATGAATTTAAAAAAATGTCTTTGTCAACACATACAAATCGTATAACTAAGCTATTATTTGACGAACAGTGTGTTATTTGACGAACAGTGTATTATTTGACGAACAGTGCGTTATTTGAAGAACAGTGCATTATATTTTTTTTCTAATTCTTATTACACTAACTCATCGGTTAGAAATGTGAAATAAAATAAAAATAAATTTTTAGGGAAAAAATTGATAGGGAGAAAATTGTTAGGGAAAAAAGTTGTCAAGAAAAAATGTTTTGTTTTGTATTTTTGTTTGTTTCATTCGTGTATTTACATGTATACGTATTTTTATTTTTATATTCTTTTTGTTTTACTTTCATTCAGGCTTCTGAGAAAGAACAGTTTATAACTGATCAAAAGTCCTTTTGACCGTTTGTGTGTAGTTTGTTTGCAAATAGTTAATAGAAGGTCAATAAAATTTATTATTATTTCGTAAGAGTTCAAAAACTATTTTATTTATTTCAATTATAAACGTTAATCAATATGGTCGATATGGATACAAAAGTCAATTACAAAAATATTTATAGGATTGCCAAACTCACTAAAACTAAAATATGATGTAACATCGGCGACGTAACATAGGCACCATCATATTATCTAAATTGACGAAAAATTGAAGTGTCAGTAAGTTTTTAACATTATATAATTCTTTTTATTACTACCTGATAAGATACACATTTTCCCCTACACTACGCATGTTTACCAGAATCTACACCTGTGCAGAAACCAATTTGTTTACAAGAATAAAAATTAAAGTTAATTATTCCTATTTATTGTTTTACTAATATGGTTAGAATGTTACCTTAGCCGAAGAATAAAAAAAAATGCAACTTACCTCTGCCACAAAATCTCCAGAACTATCCAGTTTCCTTATACTCAGTAAAAACGGAGTGTTAGCTCTCTTGATAATCTCGTCAAAGGAGAGTGTAATGCTTCTGGGTCGCAGGAATTCGAAATACGTGGCCACAGATGCTCCAAGTGTGGTCAGAAACTGACCGAATAGCCGCATAAAACCGCTACCTAATTGTACCAGTTCCAAACGACGGTCTGCAATAAAAGAAAATATATATTTTATTCAGGTTTTTATGTTGCGAAGGTAAAGTGAAAAGTGTGAAATAAAATTTTACTCGAAAACAATCAGTTGGAAAATTGCGATTTTTATGTTTAAGTTATAAAAGTAATTTTTAAAAACCGACTTTAAAATCGTGACGATGCCATGACAAATTAAGTTTACTGATTAGATATCATTATCAGATCTTGACCAAATTTATATGTGACCACCCCCTTACAAAAATGAATCATAAAAATCGGACAACGTGATAAAGAATTATCGTTGAAGATACTGTTACGCAGTATCCTGCAGTAGCCTGCGGCTATTATAGGAAACGTACAAATAGAAAAAGAAGTGGACTGTTACCCATCGCCCTACAGTATGCTGCGGTCGTCATAAGTAAAAGTACAAGTAAAAGAAGATAGAATAGTCCAGAAATGTCATTACCCGTCAATAATATTCTAGACGACAGTTCGAGAAGGTTCGAGAAGCAAGCTACATAAGGATGATCCTGACGTTGATCTTGACGTCAGTTTTGGAGTTTGATGATAGACGTTACATCAGTTGTATAATTGTTGTTAAAGTTGAGTTGAAATAAATTGTGATACCAAAAACCTCTGTAAAAAGACATAAAAAAATATTCTAATAAATTGAGTACCTCCGAAGTGGACGAAGCCTCTTGATTTTGAAAAAATCTAAATAAAAATGGTGGGTTAAAAGGAGTTGAAATACTTATTAAAAATCAAGCTCTAAAAGAGGATGAATTCTATTGATTCTGAAGAAAAATTGAATGAAAATGGGGAGTTAGGAAAGGTTGAAATATTAAAAAAAATCCTAATTCAAAAACGAAAAATGATATCAACTTGAATTTTTTAAGAAAAATCAAACTGTATAAAGAGACGAAACCTATTGTTTTACAAAAAACTCTAAATAAAAATGGGGAAGAATTAAGTGGGATTGAAATTGAAGAAAATCATAAATTTAAAACGAAAAGCGATATCAATATAAAATATTTAGTAAAAATCAAGCTCTATAAGGCGATGAAATCTATTGGTTATAACAAAAAATTGAACGAAAATTCGAGGTTAAGGGGGATCAAAATATTAAAAAACGACTTAAAATTTTTAGAGGCGAAGCCTATTGATAAAAAAAAAATAAAAACGGAGGGGTTATACGGGGTTAAAATATATAAAAAAAACATAACTCAAAAACTAAAAATGATACCAACATAAAATTTTTAGGAAAAATCAAGCCCTATAAGGGGACGAAGCCTATTGAAAAAATAGGGGTTAATAGGGTTGAAATTTAAAAAAAAAATTCAAAAACGAAAATCGGTATCAACATGAAATATTTAGTGAAAAACAAGCGCTATAAGAGGATGAAAAGACTATTATTTCTGAAAAAAATTTGAATGAAAATGGTGATGAAGGGGGAGGGGTTGAAATATTAAAAAAATCTTAACGAAAAATGAAATTTTTAGAAAAGTCAGGCCCTATAAGGGGACTAAGCCAATTGATTTAAAAAAAAACCATAAAAATGGGGTCGAAATATTTAAAAAAATTAATCAACTTTAATTTTTTAGTAAAAATCAAGCTCTATAAGGCGATGAAATCTATTGGTTATAACAAAAAAATTGAACGAAAATTCGAAGTTAAGGGGGATCAAAATATTAAAAAACGACTTAAAATTTTTAGAGACGAAGCCTATTGATAAAAAAAAAATAAAAACGGAGGGGTTATACGGGGTTAAAATATATAAAAAAAACATAACTCAAAAACTAAAAATGATACCAACATAAAATTTTTAGGAAAAATCAAGCCCTATAAGGGGACGAAGCCTATTGAAAAAATAGGGGTTAATAGGGTTGAAATTTAAAAAAAAATTCAAAAACGAAAATCGGTATCAACATGAAATATTTAGTGAAAAACAAGCGCTATAAGAGGATGAAAAGACTATTATTTCTGAAAAAAATTTGAATGAAAATGGCGATGAAGGGGGAGGGGTTGAAATATTAAAAAAATCTTAACGAAAAATGAAATTTTTAGAAAAGTCAGGCCCTATAAGGGGACTAAGCCAATTGAATAAAAAAAAAACAATAAACATGAAGTCGAAATATTTAAAAAATCTTAATCAACTTGAATTTTTTAGGAAAAATCAAGCTCTATAAGGGGACGAAGCCTATTGATTTAAAAAATTATAAATAAAAGTGAAAGAGTTAAGGGGGTCAAAATTTAAAAAATAAGTCAAAAACGCAAAACGATATCAATATGAAATTTTAGTATAAATAAAGCTCTATAAGTAGATAAATTCTATTGATTCTAAAAACATCTGAATAAAAATTAGGGATTAAGGGAGCTCTGTTAAATTGTGAAAAGTATCATATAGAATGCCAAACATTCATTCTAGTTTGACACTATAATATAGAATAAAAAAATTCTTCGGTTGACTGAACTATAAAATAAATTGATATAATCCGGTAAATTCGCATATTTTATTTTATTTAATAATAAAACACATTTTTTGGTTTTCATATAAAATAAATCAATATAGTCCGGTAGATCTAGAATATTTTAATATAAAATATATATTTTTATTTGGAATATAAAATATCTCGGTTAACTGAACTATAATATAATAAAATAAATAAAGTCTGGTAAATAACCAAATTTTTTTTATCAAATAAATAATATTTATTATTATAGACGAAAACTTCTTCTGTCGATTGGACTATAAAATATATAAATATAATCCGGTAAATCGGGAACATTTTATTTATTATTTAAAAAACACTTTTTTGTTTTTATATATTATATAACAAAGTCTATTCAATTGCCTGGATTATAAAATGTAGTCTGATAAATTGGGAACATTCTGTTTATTATTAACAAAAAAACACGTTATTTGTTTTAATTTAATATAATCAGATCTCTTCATTTTGACTGACCTATAAAATAAAAATAGGCCGGTAAATCGGATTAACGTCTCTTATTTTTTGCCATCGGAGAAGTGCATTTTTTTCTGTCGACCATAATAAACACTGCTCCACGAAATTAAAGCATCACTAATAAATTTGTAATTATTTTAATTTTAGAATTTTATCAACAAATTGAACTCTTATTTCAATAACTTTTATTAAATTGTTTTTCAATTAAACACTTAATTAAATATAGTATTTAGAAAATTTAGCATACACAATTTGAAAAATATAAAAAAAGAAAATTTGGAATTAAATAAAAAAAAAACTATAACATCACATTTAATACCGAGTATTTCCACATCTGCTTGTAAATCTAAATATAAGACTACGTATGCTGTTTTGATTCAGTCCATTTCAAATTTCAACCAGAAGTCACCCCTCGTCCAACAAGTTGTTAGGTTCGGATGAGCACGTAATTGTCTTCCGAGCATAGTCATAATAAAAAAAGCAGTACTATGATAACAAAAGGGCGGGACCTGGATCGAGGACCTTTTTTATTTTTTTTTAGAAGTCATTAAGAGGAAGGAGGTAATGATTTTGCTTGGAGGTCTTTTTTTTAGAAATGTGTTTAGGGCTCCTTCAAATATTTCGCTTTTCAAAAAGGTTCCGTCACACCAAAAAAGTTTGAGAATCACTGCTCTATTGGATTAAGAGCAAACCGGACCCCTAGAAAATTTAGAATTCATTCTGAACCTTTATTTTTAGTCCGATTTTTGAGAAATTTTTAGGTAATACCAATAATAACAAAAGTTAGGGAGGAGAAACTTGAATTTTTTGTAAACCTTCGAAAAGTATTTATTTTGAAAAATTTTAAAAAGAAATTTAAAAAAACATTTACGTACCATTCTGTATTAAATCTATAAAAATTTACTGCTTTTTGTTTTAATAAATAACTAGTAGGTAGTTTTTAAATGAAATGCTTTCCCACCTTTTTTTTTGTTAAACGCCTTATCGTTGCACAAATCTAAAGCTCTCAATATTGTCAAAACACATAATATCACGAAGTATTCCCAATGGCACGCATATAAATACAATTTTGTATTAGAAAATCCTTAAAACATTTTAGCTTTCGCGAGAGGTCCGGTTTCCTCTTAAGGTCGGGCTTCAAGTTGGCCAAGATATAGTTTCAATGTCAACTTCCAAAAGATAATCTCCAACTACTCGGGCTGTATGGGGTCGAGCATTATCTTGCTTTAATAAAAAAAATTCTCCGATATAAGGGGTAAATGGCATAACATGTTCCTCAAGAATGTTGAATATGTAGCACCCAGAATTATTATTGCTATTGTTCAACACCGTGTGTGACCCACACGAAGACTGAGTATTCACCAAATAAAGTGGTATTTGTTGTGTTACACTGTGTATATTATTTACTCGGCTTCCTAAAAACACGAATGCAGACAAATTTGTCCAAAGAACTAGTTCCCACCAAACTTCCTCCCAGTTGACGTGCTCCTTGGTAAAGTTCAACCGAGATCTCCGGAGAACCACGGTTAAGGCTGGCCTTTGGGCAGCAATGCGAGGATGAAAATCACCCTATCGAAGTCGTTATTGAATGGTTTTCAAACTTATTTGAACGCCATGGGCGTTCTGAAGCTGAGATTGCAACAATATTTTTATTACAGATCTTTGTCTAAGAGCGGAAAGTCTTAAAAAACGATCTTGGCCGGGGTCGTGATGCGATTTCTCCCTTGTTTAGCTCTTCTACTATGTTCACCAGTTTCCCTGAATCATCCAACAATACATAAAACTTATTTATTGGACACCCCAAATCTGTCACCTATTCGGCGATAGCTCAAATCTTCTTCGTGCAATACATTAACTTTCAGCAGGCGTTCAATTTATGGAATAGCGTTGTATTTTAACTATTCAAATAGAAGACAATCGAATAATTCAAAAATTTAAACTCTAGTGGGCAAAAATAAACCACTAAAAGTCTTGAAAGTAAATTTATATTAAAAGAAAAAAAGTTCCATAATGAAACAGAAACAGCACAAATATAAAGGTGGTTTGTTGTTAAAATAAAGAATATACCAGGGCCTTCAAAATTTTTATAAAATATTAAAGAGTTTATTTTAAATGCCAATATTTACCTTAAAATATTAAGTGGTGCATTAATTTCTTTGAGCAGTGTATTAATAAATAAACTTTACTGTATTGGAGTACGTAATCCAGCATTAAGCTGGACCATTTTTTTGTCTGGTCGACTATATTACGTTAGTTTTTAGAAAATTACTAAATCATCAACGGTCTCTGATAAATCTGATTATCTTAATATAAATAAAGATGTTTCACAAGGGTCAGTTTTGGGACTGGTTTTATTTTTAATCTACACAAATAATATTAAAAAACCGATACATCTGTACATTTCATTCTGTATTCAGATGATACTTTGGTACTTTTGCTTGAAGTGAGGTGTAATAAGATATCAAGTCTGTACATCTGGTTCTCTTTAAATACACTTTAATTTAATACTGATATGACTTGCTTAATACATTTTCATATCTAATAAAAACTGTAAATTATTAATGTGAGCCTTAGTGAACATGTATAAATATGTTGAGAATGTTTTTAGAATTACAGATTGTTAACATTTTAAATTGTGGAAAACACTATGAAATATTTGTCTCAAAGATCAACTCGATTTTATTTTTATTAACCTGAATACCAATTAACTATGTTATATTTTTTACATATATTGCATCGCAATTGTTTCTGGGGATCATCCACTTCTCAAGGGCAATACCATGAAAGGTGATAATATTTTGAGAAAATTTTGTTTCTTTGGAAATTATGTATCTTTCACGAAACAAAATCTATTTTAAAATACCACGAGATGTTAGTCGCAAGATGAAGTCGATTCTGTATTTATAATGTATATTAATATACTATTTTCTAAGGGAAACGCCTTGTATAAATCCCAATTGATGAATAGGCAAAGACTACAATATATTTATTTTTAGAATTTTTTTAAAAAAATTACTCGATATATATTTAATTGAAAAAGTTTATGTTTTGATTAAAGATTGTAAGATGTAAGATTGTAAGATATTCGTATTTTAATAATTATATGCCAAACAGGCAAAATGAATACATATATTGCCTAAATTCATAAGACATGTTAACGTTAGATAAAAAATATTTTTCCATTTAAATTGTGCCTAGACGCGACTGCTAGGATTCATTTTTCGAGATCCTTCAGAAAGCCTTTTCACTGCTATTTCCTTTTCCGCAATTTGATATTTTAGTCCCATATATGTACACGTCTAAGGAAAAATGTTCGATTCTATATAATATTCTCAATAGGTAGCTGACAAAGTGAACAAATATTTGATAGTGGAATAAAATTAGAAAAAAGACTATTCATACTCGTATGTCAAGAATATAAAAGATGAATTTATAATGTTTATTATTATGGAAAAATCAGAATATAACCAGAAAATTGCAGTATATTGTGTAGTATATTGCGGCAGATGTTTTTTTAATTGCATACAGGGTAATCTATTACAGATATAAAAAATAATAATTGAACGTTAGGAAGAATTAATTTGCATATTTTAAAATTCTTCACGAATATAAAGGATTTTAATTAACATCAATCTGTCCTAAAGTTTTAAATGAGGCGATAAAAAATTGTACATTTTGTTCCAGTGGCGCAGCCACGAAATGAAACTGGGGGGCCACCACAATAATGTTTTTGAGCCAGTGGCGGCTAGTGGGGTGGTTCATAGTGACAGAATATAGGTATCAGTACAGACGTATGAAAAAACTTTCAGTGTTTTAGAAAGTTTATAATATACTTTTCTAAAACACTGACAGTTTTTTACCTATATCTGTACCGGGATCTATAGTCTGCTACTGCAAACCCCTAAAATTTTGGTCACGAGCCGCCCCTGTTTTGAGCCTAAAGGAGTACCCAGTAAAGAGAAGTAGGGGACATCTGCCCACCTTGAAGCTCAATAATACACAAAATAAATAATAAAAGTCACAAAATAAAATAAATATTGCTCTTGCTTATCCCTATCTAACATGACGTGCCCACACTAGTTCGGGTTAATCCCTAGTTCGTCCTTGAGAGCCTCAGAACTATACTATACTGTAACGTTTGTTTAATTTATTTATAGTTTATTTATTTAAAACACTATTTACAATTTATTTATAACGTACCAATTAATTTATATAATACAATTTGTCTTTACTATCCAACACTTAAATTCAATCTTTCAGTCCGTCGACAAACTCGCGCTATTTATGTAAAACCAGCTCTGTACCAGAACTCTCTCAGCTTTTAGGAACGATCGAAAACTGCCTCTCTATGATTCATACGCCGCAAAGGGATCTATCCGGTAGCTTCTTGAAGCGGTAGGTTTGTTCCTTATGGGCAGCGCTAAACTTCATACCGCGGGCAAGGAGTAAACAAAGTACAGAGATGGCTTCACATCACAATACTTAATAGGTTAAAAGCATTTTATGTAATATTTAGGTACTGTAAAATTTACCTCTTTTTCATTAAACATACATATGAAATATTCTAAAAATAAATATTGAACAAATAATATTCTTCTATAAAACCAAAATAAATATATTAAAAAAACTAAATATTATATAATTAAAACAATGTCAGATTCTTAAAATTTAAAAAAAAAGTTCCTGGTGGCAATATCCAATGTTTTTAAGAGTATCAAGTGTTAAAGGATTTCGTAAAATCAAAATATTTTTTTAAAGGAATTTTTTTCGAATAATACAAATATTATTTGTAAAATTTAGTAAATTCAATAAAAGATCAGTGTAATAAATTTGGTTTCGAAACTTTTGGAAACATTTATTATAATAATTATTATGAATAAATACATACCTAACACAAAATGCCAAGGAAATGCTTTGCAGAACGTGCTGACTCCCATTTGAAGTTTGTCACTTGCAGTCTCAGGCGTAAGATTACTTAATGTCTGTTGTTTCGTTAAAACTGAATTTAACTTTATATTATATCTGCAAGAATAAATTTATATGTATTAATTAATTACTATAAGAATAAATAGAGTGTTAAACAATATCTGTATCCCACGTGACTAATATATTGATGTCATGAGTTGTCTAAAAGTAATATTAATACCTTCAGTAGGTTTTCGCTGGAAATATATCCAACATATTTTAGTGATACATCAGATGCGCCCAGACCCCAGTGCCAAACTGATCAATCAATTAATAATTAAGCTAATTTTTAAATAATAATAATTTCTCTTGTGAGATCCTAAGGACCACCCTTGTTTGATTTACCTTTTCTGAATAATAATTTCTTTCAATTACTAATAATAATAATAATAAAAAATCATTTGATAATTCTGAAACAAATCTCAAAAATCCCTCTAAGAATTATTAAGACCATCTTCGAACCCCAAAGGTGAAAACAAATACTTGGAGATTTGAAAAAGCATGTCGCAGCTGAGGATCGAACCTGGACATTCACGTTTGCTATACATGTGTGCTTTCTACTAGACCATCCACGACATTGACTATCGAGGTTCCTAGACAGAAATTTGATGAGCAATTTCTAGTCAGAAGGCATTCAGGCTCGTTCTCAAATCTTCAAATACCTCTCTAAAGCATCGCTACATATAAGAGAAATGCATTTATGTATTCTAAGCCCATATGTTAGTCTGTGTGAGTTTTCAATGTACGTTAAGAGACGTAAACCTGTGCGTGAAAATTGTAGAAAGGGCACATGTCTAGTAAACATGGATGTCCGAGTTCGGTCCCTGGCTGCGACAGGCTTTTTTCAAATCTCCAAGTATTTTTTATTCAGCCACTTATTTAAGATATTTATTTGATTTTTCGGATTTTGATTTGCGATTGCAGAATAAAATAACTTTATTTTCACAAATAATAAACAACAAAATATCCATCTCTCTCGTACGTATACACGACAAATAGTTTAAATGTTATAAGCAAGGTTTGACGTAATATTATTCTGCGCTAAAAAGGTTACGTCATCAAGCTCCTAGAAAGTTCGATAGGCCTAGGTCACCAGAATAAACTCCTTTTTATTTTTTTATTGGGATACTTGAAAAATAAAGTATACCAAAATAGACGGATAGCATGGAAATTGTAAAAATATTACAGTTATAGAGAAAGTTCGAGAAAAAATTAATGCTCGTCTTTCCCACTGTATTCTAGTTGTGAGTTAAGATGTAAGTTTTAGTTTCTTGGTTTCTAATATTAGTTTTTATTACCTTTAGGGAGGTCTTTTACATGACCCGTTTGATTTTCTTCCCAATTTTGCTAACTGTGGATTGTAAAATTGGTTCTCGGTTAGAATATTTATTATTAAACAAATTAGATACATCTTTCTGAATCCTTGTATTATTTAAATAGGTTAGTATGACGTGTTACAACTCGAAGGTCTGTGTTTACAGGTTCCTCATTTCATTGTCAGTGGCAGCCTTTAATAAATTTATTTTGGGAATCAATTAATACATGACAAAAATAATTAATAATTTGTGAGAGTAGAGGAAAAATGGGGGACCAAAAGGATGCAGCCCCATGGGGAGTCAAAAGGATGGTATGGTATTGCGATGGGGAGTCAAAAGGATGGTATGGTATTGCGATGGGGGGTCAAAAGGATCGTACGGTATTGCGATGGGGAGTCAAAAGGATGCTATGGTATTGCGATGGGGAGTCAAAAGGATGGTACGGTATTGCGATGGGGAGTCAAAAGGATGCTATGGTATTGCGATGGGGAGTCAAAAGGATGGTATGGTATTGCGATGGGGAGTCAAAATGATGGTATGGTATTGCGATGGGAAGTCAAAAGGATGGTATGGTATTGCGATGGGGGCTATTCGTCGATCAACGAATGTTTCATATTAAATTTGTTGAAAACGTTAGATAGAAAATAATAAAGAAGTCTCGCATTTTTACTCTGTAAATGTTTAATTGGATTAAAGAACCTGTTACTCGACTCTTACGATCAGCTTGAGGGCAATGGTTTTAAATTTATGTTTAGACACTTAACGTAAAAATATGGATACAATATGTTTTTTATTGCTGTTTCAAATTTAGTTATTTTTAGTTTTAGATATCATAGCTATGAATATTTTGTTATCGTTTTAAAATGTGCATTATTATCAGCTATCATAACAATCTACAATATACCAGGTACTATCAATTAGTGTTACCTTCGTTATTGAATTTCTTCAAGAAATCTCATATATTTTATTAGCTTACCATTTGCGATTCACAGTGAATTTAATTTTGAATTCATATGTTTAATTTATATGCTATTGAAAAAAATAATGTTATTATATTTAATAAATATTCATACTATTTAAACTATGATTATTACTTGCTGAAAGTATAATTGAAACCACAATTTTTGGTGTGTAAAATTAAACTCGCCTCTCTAATACCTTTATTAAACCATAATTAGCAAGAACTTTGTATTATGTGTAAAAGCATTAAATCGTTAGCTTTGCAAATAACTTGAGAAATTGTGATTGGTGAGATATATCTAATGCAAATAACTTAATATAAGTATTGCGCTAATTCTAATAAAAATGTATTTAAAAATATATTATTGTTCACATTCTAGATAGAAATGATTTATTTGAAGAACATTAACTCATGGTTAAATTACCATCACTTTTTAGAGAATTATTTTAAGTGCTATTTTTTGATTTAAGAAGAATATTTTCGAAATTGAAACAAATTACTTTTGTATATTTCATCATTATTATTAATATTTGTTTTTTTTTAATCAATACAAATAACTTAAGTAAAGTGATCTTAATATAATAATTTATCAAGTATATAGTTCAGTATTTTTTGGGTTAGATTGTTCTCAATTCAAATTAACAAAGTTTAATAATGTATCATCACGCTGCTTAATGCCATTTTATTAGTTGATATTAATTTTTCGAAGTTCTTTATCAATACAATCAATTTCTTTTATTAATTAATTTTCTTTAACTTATTAAAATGTTTTAAAATTTTTATAACGCCTTACCACATATAAATGTTTAAAATCATTAAACTTCTTTTTACTTGCTTCCACCACCAATCGTCTTATCGAATGTTGGTGATCTATTTATTTTTAAATTAAAAAAAATATAATTAACTAAAAGTAAAGTGATCTTAATATAATACTTTATCGAGTACCTATATAGTTCAGTGTATCTTTTGGGTCAGATTGTTCTCAAATCAAATTAACAAAGTTTAATAATGTATCAGCTCGCTGCTTAATACCAGTTTATTAGATGATACTAATTTTTCGAAGTTCTTTAACAATACAATTTCTTCTATGGAGCCGATTAATTTGTATAGCGGGAACAACGAGTATTATTACAATAAGTAACGTTGCCTCCTTAATTTTTATCTACGGCCATTTAGACCTCATATCATTAGTTAGTTAAAATCGATTTTTTTTATTGATAATATTATGTAACAGGTAATTAATTTTCTTTAACTTATTAAAATGTGTTAAAATTTTTATAACGCCTTACCACATATAAATGTTTAATAATATCATTAAACTTCATTTTACATGCTTCCACCACCAATCGAATGTTGATGAAGGTGGGTGTACTGTTTAATTATTAACAAACAAATATAAATAATTTCAAGTAAAGTAGTCTTAATGTAATACTTTATCGAGTACCTATATATTTCAGTGTTTCTTTTGGGTTAGATTGTTCTCAAATCAAATTAATAAAGTTTGATAATGTAGCATGTTGCTGCTTAATACCAGTTATTCGATGATATTAGTTTTTCGAAGTTCTTTAACAATTCAATCAATTTCTTCTACAGAGCCGTTTGATTTGTATAGTGGGAACAGTAAGTATTATTACAGTAACTAAAGTTGTCTTCATCATTTCCATTTACAATCATCTAGAAGTAATATCTTAACTTAGTTAAATTCGATTTCTTTTTATTGGTAATATTATGTAACTTGTTAAGTTGTTTTTAAATTTTTATACCGCCTTACCTTATATAAATGTTTAATATCATTAAACTTCTTTTTACATGCTTCCACCACCAATCGTCTTATCGAATGTTAATGAAAATGGGTGACCTATTTATTTTTAAATTTTAAAAATATAAATAATTTCCGGTAAACTGATCTTATATTAATTTATCAAGAATAGTTCGGTGTTTTTTTATTAGATTATTCTCTTAACAAATTAATAAAGTTTGATAATGTAGCATGTTGCTGCTTAATACCAGTTTATTCGATGTTATTAGTTTTTTGAAGTTCTTCATTAATACAAGCAATTTCTTCTATGAAGCTGTTTGATTTGCATGGTGGAAAGTATTATTTTAGTAATTAACGTTGTCTTCTTCATTTTCATCTACAGTTATCTATACGTCATATCCTTACTTAGTTGAATTCGATTTTTTATTAATAATTCTCAATTATGTAACTGATAATTAATTTTGTTTAACTTGGTCATTTTAAAATTTTTATAACGCCTTACCTCATATAAATGTTCAATAATTTTATTAAACTTATTTTTACATGCTTCAACCATCAGTCGTCTTATCCAATATTAATGAATATGGGTGATCTATTTATTTATAGATTTAAAAATCATGAAGGGTCATATAAAATAATAATTCAAGCAAACCTTGGGTATTCTTGAATGTAACAATAACAACCACTATATTTTCTTTCTCAAATTCTTATTTATATTAGATACTTGACAATTTAATGGAAGTTATACAAATGATAATGGTCAGATTAATATCAGATCAAAAAATTACAGATAGAAGACATACACACGACAGATATAAGACTGATAATTCTCAGTTATATGAAAAATAAACTAAAAAATTAAAAAAATGACAGATATACAACCGATAAACGTTAGTTATATGTCTGATAAACTGTAGATAAACGATTGATATGCAACCAATAAACTCGCGATAAATAATTGAAATTTCAGATGAATATTCAATAAGTTAGTTTCAGATCAATGTTGATAAATAAATAGCTC